ATGCCTCTTCTAGTATGAGTTCATCTCTTCCAATTAATGACAGGCGAAAGACCTCTTCTAGTATGAGTTCATCTCTTCCAGTTAATCACAAGTGAAAGACCTCTTATGGTATGGGTTCATCTCTTCCAGTTAATGACAGGCTAAAGACCTCTTATGGCAGGATTTCATCTCTTCTAGTTAACCACAGGCAAAAGACCTCTTTTGGTATAGGTTTATCCCTTCTAGTTAATCACGTGCAAAAGACCTCTTCTGGTATGGGTTTATCTCTTCCAGTTAATCACCGACAAAAGAACTCTTCTAGTATGGGTTTATCTCTTCCAGTTAATCACAGGCGAAATACCTCTTTTGGTATGGATTTATTCTTCCAGTTAATGACAGGTGAAATACCTCTTCTGGTATGAGTTCATCTTTTCTGGTTAATGACATGCAAAAGACCTCTTCTATTTCAGATTAAATCGACCAAAGATTTATTCTGATACTCCTCCCAATTGAAGTCAACAATTACTTTGGATTGCATCTATAAGCCCATCTCTGACGACTCTCCTTCATCTCTCCAAATGGCATCTATAAGCCCATTCCTGATACAATCAATCAACAACGTTATCTCTTGCACGGGCGAGTGCAAATTTCTAGGCACTTAAAGTGTTCAATCATCTTCTACCTTTAAGTCACGAATGGTGGACGAGCTAATCTAACTATCCAGGTTTAAGAATATTGAATAGGGGCAGCTATTGTACCCCAAAATTTTTCCTCACATTTTTCTCTCAATACACTCTTTCAAGGCTTCTCAAATATCCAGGGCACTCAAGGGTTACCAGTCAACTCACCTTCTGAGTCAAAAGCCCACAACTAGGGTTTGAAGTTTCTAAAGTAAATTTGGTTTTCAAAGGTCTCAAGTGGCTTCCATGATCCTTCATATGTCCTCAAAAAGGTTCATGTCAAGTTTCAAGCCCTACATCACAAGTTTGCTCAGTCAATAGCTCAAATGTTTGAAAATCAATTGTATTGGTCAAAAAGTCAACTATAGTCAACATACAGTCAAACTTCAAGATTTTTGGTCAACATTAACATTTTGAAGTGATATTCATCATTTGATCAAGGGTTGATCATGATTCCCCAAGGAAAGTCCTCAAATCATCAAAAGTCAAGAATTGTCAAATTAGGGTTTCTTTAGGAGAAGTCAACTGAAATTTGACCAGGCATAACTTTCACATGCTTCATCAACTTTTCCCCAACAAAAGCCCATTTTAAATGAAATTAAATTCTCTACATCTTTTATTTTATTCTTAAGTCCAAAAAATGCTTCATTTGGAAGATATGATCTAATACATTATAGGTCATTTTAAAAAGTCAACAACAAAGACACTTTTTGTCAAGGCAACTTACATCAAGATAATGTCTTCAAAAGTAAAAATGATCAACATAGAGATTTTAGAGGACATCTTGGGCTTTACAAAAAGTCTAAGATCACATTCACAAGATGAAAATTGAGAAAGTTGTGATTTGCACAAGTTAGGAAAATTTGTGAAATTGCATGAAGTCAACTTTGAGCAAAATTGCATTTTTAGGTTAATGGACCTAACTCTTAGGGTTCAAACATGTTTATGACATACCCAAGAGCCTCTAAACATATCCATGCATTATGTTGATTTTATTTTTATTTATTTGGATTTTTTATTCATTTAAATATGAATTGAATCAAATAAAGTGAAAACCTAATGAGCTAGTGCATATGGGCTTGGCTTAACCCATCTTGAAGTCCAATAACTCGTGCGTGGTACATACAACTTGTCCAGGTTCATTCCCCAAACAGAAATGGCAAGAATCCAACAAAAATGGATAATTTTCAAAATTTTGATTTTTGTTTTAAGGCCATGATTAATGGTTGATTATTTCCATACTTATATGCTCTTATCCCTCCCTCTATATAAATCACAACAATGCAAGCAAGAAGACACGCATATATTGCCTAACGAAGCTCTACAAAATTTCACGAAAAGTCTCAAAGTTGCCAAATTCGAAAGTCAATTTTCCAGCCATCCTCCATAAAAACCAGTCACACATTCATCTTCCCGAGACTCCTAAGACTCATCCCAGTCCTTCTTGAAGCTTGAAACGCCCCAGAACTCACCCACCAAATTGCATTGGTTTGTTCATATTCTTGGATCTTAAACTTTCTATTCATGTTATATAAATTGTTTTTGTATGTTGATATGTGTTTGTGAGACCATTTAGAGCAGGTTAGGACGTTCGCATGCGCGGGTGAATACCCTATGCACTAGATGCCATGGTTAGGGCAATAAGTCTTTTGAGCTTCAGATTCTATGATACAGGGGCCTTCAGCCCAAAACAACGCCAGATTCAAATTCAGGGGATGATTTTAAGGGGGGTTAGGTTTGATTTAAGCCGTTAATCTCTTTTATTGTGCATGTTTTCATTTTCATGCCAACCGGAGAAGACAACCGGAAATTTGACTCCGGCGTGTTGACTCTGATGGCCTAAGTGTCTTCGTCCCATTGGTCCGTTCAAATCCAACTTGGTGCGCGTTTGAAAAACGAGAATATGGGTGATATTTTCACTATATTCGTTTCTTTACTTTGTATTAACGAATGAGTTAGCTGGCCCAGTGGTAGCATGTGTGTGTCAAAGGCGTACCTCCCCGTGTCTTGGGTTCGACCCAGGCGTGAGAGAGTTTTATTTTTCTAACATTTTCTTGCAGATCCAATGTGTTGTACTCCAGCGCGCCTATCATACGCATTCAATTCTCAGTCATCAGATCACCACAAGGCCAGATCCAGCGTCCTGGAGTGTTTCCCCATGGTGCACCCCTAGGAGCCAAGCCTCACAAGATCAGGCGCAACCTTGGACCTCCCCCTTTGGGTCTGAATCATTTTTCAACATTCATACACCCCTTTTGCTTACTATGCAGGCCCAAATTTCATCTTATTTCATATTTTTTATAATTAAATTACTTTTTTTTAAAATCAATTTTATTTAATAAAAAAAATTACAAAAAAAATATAAACAAATTAGATTTAGGGTTTTTAGATTAAATTAATATTTGAAAAGTAAATTTAATTTAATCATTTTTTTTTTCATTATTTATTTCATAATTAGTTGTAATTAATTTAGACTTAGGTTTTAAATATTTAAAATCAAATCAAAAATACTAATAAAAACATTTTCTTCCACTTAGATTTTTAGGATTCTTTCATCTTTCTTTCTTTCTCCTTCGCGCGTTCATTTATTTTTATTCGTATTATTTTCATAAATTATGTAGTTGTCCAAAAGTTGTAATAGCTTAATTTAGGGCCCTTTACATTTCTTCCCCCATTTTGGTTTACACTCCTCCATCCCGAAGCGATATAATAGCGTAGTTTAATTTTCGCATCTTTATTTTGTATGTATATATTTAACTGTTAGACTAATTAGGCGTGCATGGCAAGATCTAAAAGCAAACGGTAGAAAATCTAAATATCCAAGATAAATAACTGAAACATAACCCACTTCACACACGTGCACCTCTAAGGTATCTCCATTTGTTGCATTCAGAAAACAAAACAGTCATGTCTCTCGAACGTGAGAAATTTTAGCAGTGACCCTTTGGTTATGAGACCATAAGTCCCTCGATGATCCTTTCGATGTTGTCTCGGTAAATGATCTTAAAATCTTAGGGTAATTGCTAAAGTATCTTACGAGTTGCTTTCGTGATTGTACGATGACCCTCGCATGTCCCTCAAACATCCAATGATAGGGCTACCTACTGACTAATAGTAGGATACCACTGTCAAACGAAAAAGAGGAAAAGAACAAAGACCATTTGAGTAGGTAGACAGTTCATAATTGCTTGCTCATAAAAACAAACAAAACAACTTTTCACACATACACAAACTCTTTTCTAAATATTCTCAAAGACAAGAAACACTTTGTATACGTTCTCAACGATACGAGAAACATTACAAAGTTCGCTGCACTAAGGCGTCTTTTTAAAATATTTTTCAAATTACACTTACACAAAAAACATTTTCAAAAGTGAGTTAGCAACTAAGAGCCCGTAGATAACTACGGATGGAAATGATGCTAACACCTTCCCTTTCAATAATCTACCCCTCGAACTCAAAATCTTTAAAAAGATCTTTCCTGTTCTTTTCATCCTCTCCTTTGTTGGATAAAAGAAAAGTCGGTAGCGACTCTTGTTAATCGTAATATTTGCGATAAAAACACAAAATCAGTAAAGTCAGTTCTCCCATCGTATTACAATGATGATGTAAATTTGATGTTATTGGTTGTGATATGTCAGTGTGATACTTTGATTTCATTGTCTTTTTCTTGTATGTTTTTACTTTGATGTCAAAACAATATAAAATGATGTCAAAACAATATAAAGTGTATTACTCCGGTCTGATTTATAAGTAAGAAAGAAAATTTTCACACTTATTAAAAAAAAAATGATTTGCATTTACTTTTCTTGATCTCATATAAGAGAGATAATATGATTATTATTATACCCTTAATTTTGTCACCTACTAATAATATTAACTAACTAATATAAAGATGATTTTATAATACAAACATTAAATATACCTAGATTTATGGATATTTATTTATATTTAGACAAAATTTAAAGACTTTTGTTGATAAATAATGTAAAATGTATAAAGAAAATGAACATGAAACTTGATTAAATACTCACACATACATGAAGAAGGGTGACCCATTATTTATAGAGTGGTTGAACTCATGTATATATACTTTATTCAATTGTGATTTCGACTGCATTGATTTCTAAGATTGATAACGGATAATGATTTTGTTATCATAATCAAAATTTGAGATAGGCGGTGACACATATTGGTTGAAATGTCTGCTCTTTATTATTTTATGCAAGGACAAATAAGGTATTTCCTTAACTATAGATAGTAGTAGAAGTAGATAGATGAGAAATTATGGTAATCATCAGTAGTGTTACAAAGAGCCACGTGGATGCATGAAAACAAACCATGAACGGAAAAACAACTTCTCCCGCCGTTCCTCTCCCCGTCTCCACCATATCCCCACCGTCAACCGCCGCCACTCAAATCCGCGTCGCCGCAAAACAGAAAGAATGGAACAAAGCAATCAGCACAAGCATCCGTTCACGTCTCAGCAAACTATGCCGAGAAGGCCAACCTCACCTCGCTCGTCATCTCCTCGAAACTCTTCCCCGTCCCTCCACCGTCGTCTGGAACTCCGTCATCATCGGTTTCATCTGTAACAACATGCCTCTCGAAGCTCTTCTCTTGTACGCTCAAATGAGATCCAAACCAGACACTCGTTTTGATCCTTACACTTTCTCTTCCACTCTCAAAGCTTGTGCACTAACCAATGATGTTATTACCGGTAAAGCTATTCATTCTCATTTTCTTCGTTCTCATTCGAGTTCTAACCCTGGTCCTAGTAGAATTGTTTACAATTCGCTTTTGAATATGTACTCTTCTTGTCAACATCATTATGTCCTCAAGGTGTTTGGTGTAATGCGTAAACGAAATGTTGTTGCTTGGAATACTTTGATATCTTGGTATGTTAAGACCAATCGGTATCACGAAGCGCTTAATGTTTTTGCTACTATGATTAGTCTCTCCGTCACTCCGACTCCGGTTACTTTTGTAAATCTCTTTCCTGGTTTATCGAAACTCGGTGATTCTAGAATTGCTCACTTGTTTTATGGTTTTCTTCTCAAATTTGGTGATGAGTATGTTAATGATGTGTTTGTTGTCAGCTCTGCGATACTTATGTTTGCTGATCTTGGTTGCATGGATTATGCTCGTAAGGTTTTCGACCAATGTTTGAACAAAAATACTGAGATTTGGAATACTATGATTGCTTCTTATGTTCAGAATAGTTGCCCAGTTGAAGCAATTGATGTGTTTGTTCAAGCCTTGGAGTCAGAGGAAGAAGAGGGTTTATGCGATGATGTAACTTTTCTCTCTGTTATTACTGCTGTTTCACAGATGCAGCAAATTAAACTGGCTGAGCAGCTGCATGTGTTTGTTCTAAAAAGTTTGCCTGCTTCACTTATTATAATTCTCAATGCTATAATGGTTATGTACTCGAGATGCAATTTTGTTGATACTTCGTTTAAGGTTTTTGATAAGATGTTGGAAAGGGACGCTGTTTCGTGGAATACAATAATATCTGCCTTTGTACAGAATGGTTTCAATGAGGAGGCACTTATGCTTGTTTGTGAGATGCAGAAGCAAAAGTTTTTGATTGATTCTGTTACTGCGGCTGCTCTTTTTTCTGCAGCTTCTAATCTTAGGAATTTGTATATTGGAAGGCAAACTCATGCATATTTGATTCGCCATGGGATACAGTTTGAGGGGATGGAGAGTTATTTGATAGATATGTATGCAAAATCCGGCTCCATTAGGACTTCTGAATTGTTGTTTGAGAAAAACTGCTCGAGTGATAGAGACCAGGCCACGTGGAATGCTATGATTGCTGGTTATACTCAGAATGGGCTCAATGAGAATGCTATTCTTCTTCTTAACGAGATGTTGGTGCAAAAGGTACTACCAAATGCGGTAACATTGGCATCAGTTCTTCCTGCTTGTAGTTCAATGGGAAGCATGGGATTTGCTAGGCAAATTCATGGATTCTCCATACGTCATTTCTTGGAGAAAAATGTTTATGTGGGAACTGCTTTAACTGACACATATTCCAAATGTGGTGCAATTAGTTATGCTGAAAATGTTTTTGTGAGAACACCCGAGAAGAATTCTGTCTCATACACCACAATGATGATGTGCTATGGTCAGCATGGGATGGGTAAGAGAGCTCTTACCCTGTATGACTCTATGCTGAGATCCGGCATTAAGCCTGATGCAGTTACTTTCGTTGCCATCTTATCTGCTTGTAATTATACTGGATTGGTTGATGAAGGCCTTCAAATATTTGAATCTATGGAGAAAGTCCATAAAATCAAGCCTTCAATCGAACATTATTGCTGTGTTGCAGACATGTTAGGGAGGGTCGGGAGGGTAGTTGAAGCCTATGAGTTTGTCAAGGGATTGGGCGAGGATGGTAACACCATGGAAATCTGGGGATCTCTTCTTGGGTCTTGTAAAAATCATGGGCATTTTGAATTGGGAAAAGTTGTTGCCAAAAAATTGCTGAATATGGGTAGGGAGAAAAGAATGGCAGGATATCATGTTCTGCTCTCAAATATTTATGCAGAGGAAGGAGAGTGGGAAAATGTTGATAGAGTGAGAAAGCAGATGAAGGAAAAAGGTCTGCAAAAAGAAACAGGATGTAGTTGGGTTGAGATTGTTGGGTTTTTAAACTGCTTTGTATCTAGAGATGAGAAGCACCCTCAAATTGATGAAATATATTATATGTTGGACAAGTTAACTCTAGACATGAAGGATGCGGGTTACAAACCACTTTACAGCTTAAATTTAAATATGATTTTGGATTCTAATGAATGAATTGAATAATTATCACAAGTTTTATCAAAGCGAGGTGGTGGTTGGTTTATGGTGGGAGTTGTTACGAAAATAACAACTGATAATAGTTTAATGACCTGCATAAATTTATCTTATGTACACCACAACAGCCACTTGTGTGAAACTCTTAGGCTGTCCATTCATTTGAAACAAATTGTTATTGGTTAAAAAACAAACCATTCATGTATATTGCAATAATTACTTACAAGTTATATCATACTTTTGTCTCCAATTCAAGAAACCGTGGATATATCTAGGTACCATTCTTCAACTCAGCATTTTTCACATTTTGTAACATTTTAATTTAATATTTACGTGTAGTGTTGGGGCTTTAATGATAAAACTGAACTAAACAATTAAAAGATATTACTAATCTGTCTGTGTTAAGCTCATTCACCATTAATAAGTGTACACAAAAAGGATTGTTTATGATGGTGGCGCTACCATTTAAGTTTGTTATGGAACCTAGCTCTAATATTTTATATTCTTTTCCATATCAGGTTGAATTTTGTTGTTTCGAATTTGTTTTGGCTCCAGTTACATGATAGGCTTGCAACACTTAGACTAAAGTCTAAAAGCAGGATGAGGAGTACCGGAGTAGAGTTTTCTTTTATCTCTCACTGGATGCTCAGTAAGAATATTTTCAAGTATGGTTTTGGATTTCTTTTTTACATGTGAGTCCTATGGAGTATGGCAAGCTGCCAGATTTTATTGTTTCTCTCTCATTGGACCTATCTTTCTTTAAGGAGGAAAAAGGTTCTATGAAAGGTTGTGTTTAACAGTTCTAATTAGTGTTTTAAATTTGGTTAATTCTGCTTCTTAATTTTTCTCAAAGAACTCAGAAGTCTTCTAGATTCTTTGTCCTTAACCATGCTCCATGGTTGTCATTAGACTATGTAAACTCCTGTCTGTTAAACTCATGTCACGTCTAGAAGTGCCTGAGAAGGCATGATTACTGTTGGAAACCCAACAAAACACAAGCAGAAGTATTAAGAGAAAAATGGAAATATCACACAGAACAAAATGATTGCTTTATTAAGCAATAAAGTATTTTCCAAGGCAATCCTCTCAACCTCTCTTCCATTCCTTATATTGTGGAATCGTACAACATTCTCTCTCTGCACTCTCTTACAGAATTCCTGCTCTTTCCCCTTTTTGCCCCTTCTAGAATAGACTCTCCATACCTTGGGCCCATTGGGCTGATGATAAACCATAACCTCATTTGATTCATCCCCTGTCACGTGGTCTCTATCAATACTCCCTTCTGAAACTTCAACCTTGTCCTCAAGGTGAAATGTCGGGAACTGACTTCTAATTGTCACAACATCTTCCCAAGTTGCTTCATCCGCTGTCTGACCATTCTTCGCCTTGTTTCGTAACCTTCCTGGACACCAGCACCTTGTCAGGTTCCGGCATAATTGGTTCTTCACCTTCCAACTGGTCCAGTAAATTCTCTTCAGTCTGATAATTTCCTACAGCCTTCTTAAGCAAGGACACATGGAAATCGGGATGGATTTTCGACCCTTCAGGTAACTTTAACTTGTATGCTACAGCCCCAACTCTATCAATCACCGGATATGGACCAAATATCGTGCTGCTAACTTGGCATGAATACGGGAAACTACAGATTGCTGTGTATGTGCCCTCAATTTAACAAACACCCATTCCCCAATTTCAAAGAATTTATCAACTCTGTTAGCATCTGCTTGTGCTTTTATTCTGCTTTGCGCCCTTAGCAACTGTTCTCGCAATTTCCGCAATGCTTCATCTCTGTCCTGTAATTCCCGTGAAACCGCTTCAACACGTGTCTCATCAACTCCCCAACAAACCAAAACCGGTGCCTTCCTTCCATATACAACCTTGAAAGGGGTCTGTTGGGTTGCAGAATGATAAGTGGTATTGAACCAAAATTCCGCCCATGAAATCCAATTCACCCACACCTTGGGTTGATCAGCAGCAAAACAACGAAGATAGGTTTCGAGACAACGATTAACTACCTCGGTCTGTCCATCGGACTCAGGGTGATAGGCTGAGCTAAACTTCAAATGTGTTCCCTGTAATTTGAATAGCTCTCTCCAAAAATGACTCATGAATATAGGATCCCGATCGCTCACAATGGACATAGGGATGCCGTGCAGCCTAATAATTTCTTTGACAAATATCTCAGCCAAACTTCTGGCCGTATACGGGTGCTTGAGAGGCACAAAGTGGGAGTACTTAGATAGTCTATCTACGACCACCATCACCGCTTCATAACCTTTGGATTTCGGTAACCCTGTTATGAAGTCCATTGACAAGTCTTCCCACACATTCATTGGGACTGGTAAAGGCTGAAGGAGACCCCCTGGAGATGCTGCTACATATTTCTGTCTCTGACAGGTATCACACCCTTTAACAAATTCTTGAACAGTATTTTTCATTCCCGGCCAATATACATTAGCAGCTATTCTTCGGTACGTTCTCAAGAATCCTGAATGCCCTCCCTGAGGTGAACTATGAAATTCCTTCAGCATTCTCGGAATCAACGCAGATTGTGATGACAGAACTAGCCTCCCTTTGTATATTAATTTGCCATGTTGTATACTGTACTCCGGATGTGATGCAGGATCCCCAGATAACTCTTGCCAAACTTTTCTTAGCTTTTCATCAGCCTGTATCTCCTGTTGCACCTGCTGCAACTCTTCCCAAAAAGGATAAGACACAATATTGTTAAATTCACCTCCATCTTGAATTCGTGATATAACAAGTTTTCTTTGTGACTTGGGATTTTATTTGGGTTTTGTTGATGCTTCTCAATTACATGGTGTATTTTATTTAATTTAGTCTCACTCCGAGGTTTATGGTTCAGGCCAAACCCGTTAATTTCCTTCCCCTGCTTTGTGTTGTACAGTGCTGTTCTTCTCCTTCAAGATGCACATATATTTTGTTTTGATTTGCATTGTTCTTCTAGTTTACTTTGATGTTTGGTAGCATCTAGTTTGACCAAGCTATTATGACATTTGTCTGTTGTCGGTCATGTAACATACCGGTGTCAGACACCTGGACATGCATAATCCAAGAGGTGTTCGTGCTTTAGAGGTTTTACATGCTTTTGTTGGAAAATGAAAATAATAGATTAATAAAAGTAATTTGATCTACAACATCTATACTCAGATGACTAGCTGTGTGTGAGGTGATTTTTTTTCTTTTTCTGATGAAGAGTCATTATTAGTTAAATAATTGGATTGAATGTAAACAATTCTGTATTTTTTGGAATTGCAGGATATTAGGTATCTGAACAAGGAGTCTATATTAGATAGAGAGTTTGAGAAAACTATGACTATTTATTTGTATTATTATTCTATTTAGGTAATATTGCAATGACAATAAGATGCGATCTACTTTTAATTCATCAGTTCAATAATTAGCAAAAATCTGAATACCTGCAATACCGTAATTTGAATAAGTGTATTTGATGCCGTAGATGACTTCTTGTGTCTTGAAGCCATGTAGTTTTAATACCATAGTTTTTGTTAATGCATGTGCATGTATTCTGTTCTATTCTATCATAATTTAAAATGTTGATTTTTCAATCAATTGTAATTTTTGCAGATAACTTTATAAAACGCACCTCCTCTTTTCTATGAAGTGAAATCAAGTTGGGTTGATTTATTTAATAATTCAACTAATACCCTCCAACAATTTTGTATGTGTGGTCAGGTGCGTAATTTTATACTTGATTAATAATATAATCAATCAAATGACTTACACAAGTGTAGGAAGATCCACCCTCTAATAATGTCTTCCTACTTTGTTCACTCATTTCTTTTACTTTCTTCCTTATCTCTCCATTCTTTTTCATCACACTTCTTATTCCTCTCTCGATTTTGTCTGCAGTTAAAAGATAGTTACTTCCAACATCATACTCCATCCTATAATCCAAGGCAATCTCCACTCCCATCTTCAGCTCACGCACGAGTTCAAAAGCATTGGTCTGTTGCTCAGCTAAGAGTGGCCATGTGGCAATAGGCACACCATAATATATGCTCTCAAGAGTCGAATTCCAACCACAGTGCGAAACAAAGCCTCCCGTGGCTGGATGGGCAAGTACTTGGACCTGAGGTGCCCATCCGATGACCCTTCCAATCTCCACTGTTCGATCTAAGAACCCTTCAGGTAAAACTGCAACCAAATCAGACAAAGGATAATCAGACACAGGACCCATGGTTCCCTTCGGCGGAGGTTTCCGCATGGACCACAGGAAGCGGGCTCTACTTTTCTCAATAGCACATGCAATCTCCCTAACCTGATTCTCATCAAAAGCACCCATGCTCCCAAAGCAGATGAAAATTACCGAAGAATGAGGTTGGTCATCTAGCCACTTAATTGTGTCTTTAGAATCAACAACACCATTAGGCCTGGGCTCAGGATTGGGTTTGGTGTCGAGGTTTAATATGGGGCCCACCGGATATATGGGTAAACCACGTAGACCCGAGTCTTCCAAGAATGAGTGAGCCGCATGTGGTTCTAGCTCATGAAACGAGTTTACTATAATAGCACTAGCTTTCTTGAGTCCTCTGCCATGGTGGATGAAAGCTGATTCCCACTTCTTGCGGAGCACCACAGTGGGCAATGTGTTTGTAGGAACTGGTTTAGAGAAACTCGGGATGTCCAACTCGTCCTGCTGCAACAACAATCGAGTCGCTTCTAAGTTGTTTTCCAAAAGTGTGTGAAGATGAAGCACCAAACCAAGGTAAGCAATACCAGAAGTGAAGTAGAGAAGGGACGGAACACCAAATTCGTTGGCAACATCAATCATGGTGGTACAAAACATGTCAACTACGAAAGCAGCAAGTTGTCCATTGATGTTGGAAACAGCTTCTTTAACGTTTGGTTTTTGGCTTTCAGCAAGAGCACTGGCAGAGTAAGCTCCATCAGAAGTGGAGGAAACATGAGGACGTTCAGGGAGGTTAATGACATGGAGATTTTCTGAGTCGAAGGAGGACGAAATGGTTTGTACTTTTTCATCTGTGTTTGGAAACTTGATGACCAAGACGGTTATACTGAGACGGTTATCACGGTTGATAAGAAGCTTAGCAAGCTCAAGGGTGGATGCTAGATGTCCCACACCTGGAGAAGGGATAAACACCACTTCTACTTTCTTCATCTTAAACACAGCACTCAACACAATTACATTACATGTAATTGTTAACTAGCTATAAGCACATCATATATATCAGTGAGTGATAGTTTTGCTTGTCCAATATTGTATTGTGAGTGCTGATTTTGAACCTGAAATTTTGTGTGGTGAGCAACAATTCAGAAACATGAATTATTATTGTCTTTTAGTATAATAAAGTTTGGTCTGTGATGACTTTTTATTGGAGGCATTTCAGATTTGAATTGGAAATATCTTCTACACTTGCTTTTCCAAATGCGTGAGGTGACTGTAATCCCATTATGATTTTAACTTTTTGTTAAAAAGAAGTTTTTATGTCGACAGGATCATAAAAGTTCACTTTTCAAATGCAAATCATCTCAATCTGGTGAGGTATTTAAGAGTTAATTAAAGGCATTGAAAAAACATGTTAGAGACATTAATCTGCAAAGCACAATTAGTTATGACGATTCAATAACCCTCCTTAAGTTACAAATTTTTTTTATAAAAAAAGTTGTTTTCTACAAACCTTGTACTTACCAAATTTGAACAATTTTTAATTGTTTCTACAAACCTTATTCTTGAAGTGAGACTTGTAGTTTTCAATACAAAATTAAATAAGTAAACAACCAAATTAATCCCGAGTAAAGGAAGCTCCCAAATAAATCTCTCTAAGATTGATTCATTTTAATCATTTCCTATCAATTATATCTTTATATTTTAAGCGCTTACTACTGATTTGATCTCTCTGTTTAATCACATTTTAACCACTTATTATTAATTTGATCTCTATATTTAATCACTTGCAATCAATTTAATCCATAACATTACGTTCAAAGAATTAATTAGTAACGTTTAACGGAATCAAAGATTATTTTGAATATCTATAATTTCTGACTAACAAAATCAAAGACAAAATTGGTAATTTATTCAAAATCAGACTGATTACTGTTATAGGATTTTTAATTATAACACAAAATAATATTATATTTCTAAAAACTAAAATTTGCAACTTCCATAATTTTTTTGATTATATTGAAATTTGTGTAAACAAATCATTTTAGAATGCTACGTCATATAAATTAAAATTAACCAGCATTAAAAAAATCCAATCTCAAAGCATTGTACAAACCTCAAGCAAATAATATATCGACAGTGGTAATAAAAAGGTTACACATGTATACAAACTTGAAATAGCCATCCATGGGAATTGCAACACAGATCAATATTCATGGCAAGTTTAACTTGCCAACAATAGATAACTTGCCAACAATAGATGGAACAGTGACATAAACTATAAGTCACAACATATATCCGTACTTTGTGGCTTGTGCAATAATAATCTCTCCGATTCTTTTTATAAGAAACACATACATTAATTATATTCAATAAATCTAAAATAATAAATCTGTCTTATAAAAGGAATAATTAATTATTATTGGAATATATAAGGAGGAATAATTAATCGTGTATCTATATAAGTTTAAGTGAAATATGGAATACATAAGTAGGAATGATTTAATATAAATATATACATTAAAGTACTAGTATATTACAATATAATCTTTTTGATGAAAAGTTTTAATTGAATTAATAACAAGGACACAATAGACTTTTTGTTAAACTACTTTCACCACATTCATTTGCCATTAATTATGTCCTATGTGTCATCACATAAAAAAATTGTTATAATTTATCATTATTTTAATCACTACTATCTAATCATTTAATCTACAATGTTATTAATATTCCCATTTTTTTCCTATATTTTTTATTTTTTATTATCAAACATAATTTTTGAATGGTGTGAGTCCAATTTGAGATATTAGTTTCAAAGCACTGTCAGAATATTAGTGCACAGCCGTGTATAGGCGTTCATGAAATACTGAAAGGCCATTTACAAATGATAATCCATACAATTTCCCATGCCATTATCATCATTGCAGATTTTCATTTTCTATGCTTGGTATCTTCCATAAAAACCCAAACAATACCAATGAAAATCACAACTTCTCATCTTCAAGCTTGAAGTCCGACTGATAAATCCTCTTTTCCTTAGATTTTCCTCCTATTTCTCTTCTTCTATTTCTTCATTTCCTCTCTGTAAATTTTGTTTCTAAGCACTCATTTGAGTTAAATTTTCTTAAGCCTTTTTTTTAATCTTCAAACCATTTTAACACCTCTGTTTCTTCTTCTCTCAAGCTTTCGTTTCTCTTTCTATTTATTTTCAGATTCTACGTTTTTCTCACTATTCCAATAGCTACGTTGTAGTAGTTGCTTACGTTTCCATCATCATTTGTTCAATTTCCTCTTTCCTACGCCAAAAATGTCAAGGGTTAGACATAGGGAAAATGCTAAATCAACGCAATCGGTACCAGAATCGTCGACACCTGAACTCACACAAACTCACTTCATGGACCACAAAATCCAATGTAATGATTCAGATTATTTTCTAATTTCTATTCTTGAAGTTCAATATATCGCAAAATGTGTGTCAATCTAAACTAATTTGAATCGTCTATACAGCATTGGAGCGATAAATCTGTGAGATTAGAACCGTTAAAGAGGTTAAAATCAAACATTTGTTGGAATGTTTACGATTGCTTCACTCATCTTTCAGCAAGGAACAACTTTAGAAATCCGTGTTAGAGATTTTTGAACATATTCTTCTGAATTTGTCCATGTCATTGATAAAGAGAGTAACAAATGTCATCCACGCAAACAATTCACCGTCTCCCTCAGTTAACGCAATCACATTGAATCTGCAACCACATTAAATCACAAGAAGAATATCTCATTTTCGCTTCCATAAACTCTAATTTTCTCCCCGACTGTATGTTTTTCTTCAATGTCATTGTCGTTCACATCGATGAACGACTTTCTATTTCGCTTCCATAAACTCTAATTTTTTTGTATGTTTGATTGATTTTTGTTTTGTTCGAGAGAGAAGATGGGTCACACGTAAAATTTCTCGGGGTTCTTCGTTGAAGCTTCGTTATGTTAACCATAAGAATTGGTCTTCCTCTGAGTATAGTGAATTTGATTCGTTATGTTTGTCTGAACTGGATTAGATGCTCTTGCTGATAGGTTTTCCAAGCTTGAGAAGTTATGGTTAATTTGATGTTATAATGTTACAAGTCATGGATTATCATCACTAGCTTGGAAATGTGTTTATTTGAAAGCTTTGGACTTGCAGATTAATTTGCCATCTTTCATTTTCTTGGAACATTCATAACCTATTTAGGTTTAGACTTTTTGTTATAGGATTGATGAAGATGTTTTTGGTTTTATAGGAAAATTAGCATCGCTTTTAGGATAAAAAAGCTTTTTGGTGATTACTGATTGGCCTGTGTATATGGATAGTTTGAATTAAAAGTTAAGCATATGTGTGTCGTAAGGTCTATTTAACTTAATGATAAGCCAACTCTGCCTACATTCAACTCAATGATTTTCATCGGTTTGTTTTGTTTTTGTTTGGTATGATTCCATTTTGTTTCAGTTCATATTTCATGAGTGTTGTCGGTTTATAATTTTAATCATATTATTATTCAAGTGATGTGAATATTCAGGAAGCTGAAATATGCTTAAATTTATAAAAAATATATTGAGATTGCATTGTGTATCTATGTTTAGATGTATAGAATGAAATTACAGCTATTACATTTTCTCCCTATTAATTCACCTGTAAATAAGCTATTGATAGAATTTTGGTTTTCAATAGAAGGCCTTTTAAAGTAATATGTTCTATAGCAGAATTGCAGAATATATTTTTTTTCAATTTGGAATGCTTCAATGGTTTCTGAAGAGTGTGCTTCTTCATCTTCGACAAGTTCAACTTGATATTGCTTAAGTAAGTTTGTTGAGTGAATCTTGAACTCACCATAGGGGATATCATTTTCCATATGTACAACCTGAATCACCAATGCGTTTTAGTATTTCATTATGTAAACTTAAAGATACTTCAAATGTTAATATGACGTAGGATCCAAGTATCAAGGAGTTGGCTGAACAAATAGAAATGCAGTCCTATCGTTATTTGGTGATATGCACCTATTTGAAAACAGTGGTGAGCATAGAAGACCAAATAGTTTAAACGTTTCTCTTGCAAGGGCTGATGGATGAGTTTGGGTGGTGAACATATAAGCTATTATCTTTTTGTGGCTTTACGTTTTGTTATAAGTTTGCTACTATTTTTTCATGTTCATACTTTCTTCTGCATTTGATGTTAGATCTTATGTATCTAAGTTAGATTCCTTTTAACTTCAAAACATGTATTTCATTATTAGATGAATTGATTTTCTATTTCGTTATTGGATCCATTGAACTAACATTCATCCTTCCCTTTCTTTACTGATTTTGAAATGTTTAGCAATTGAATTGAGTTTGTGCATGATGTGACACTTAGGTAGAAGATAATCTTTATTTTAAACTCGGTACAACTCAATTAAGGGGTTATTGATGTTATTGATGCAGACAATCTTCCAAGTTATCACTTATCAAATTTACAATATTCACATATCAGGTCAAATGCTATTGATGCTGCCACAATCGTTGTCACAAATATATTATAAAGTTAGAAGACATGCACAATTTTTTGTGTTTATATATATGTATTAATTTCATTCCTTGACAAAAATTCTAATATGCTACTTCTATATTTGTGTTTATATCTATATATAATCTCACTGTAGTCTAAATTGAAATATAATCTGCATAATAATAAAGTCAATCTGCATAACAATAAATTTCTGCTCCCATAAAAGTCGTGCTAAAGTCGAAAAAGAATTTGCATAACAATAAACTCAATCAACAAGATCATTTGTGCGGTTTGTGGTTTGGTGTCTTATGCGCGGTTATTGGGGATACTGTTGTCTTGCTGCAAATTATGGTATGAAGTCTATTGATTAACACAACTTGGTCCTAGTGATTATGCAGTAAAATCTTGGAACAAGAGTCAAACAAGTCTTGGTTGGAGGTATGTGTAGTATTGGTCATGGAGATGGTGTCGT